CTTAAAAACATTATGGTAACTGAAATAAACCAGACATGTGCTGTATAATTCTACTTATATGAAATGTCCAGAACAGGCAAATCCTATTCAGAGAGGAGGAAAGTGGATTAGTAGTTGACATGGGCTAGTGGCAAAGTGGGGGATTGGGAGTAACTGCTAATAGCTCCAAGGTTTCTTTTTGGTTTTAGTTTTTTGGTACCAGGAATTTTTCTCCCTTTTTTGTACTGGGAATCAAACTCAGGACCTTGCGCTTGCCAGGCAGGCACTTGTGCCACTGAGCTATATCCCTGGCCTGGTACCAGGAGTCGAACTCACAACCTTGAGCTTGCCAGGCAAAGTGCTGTGCCACTGAGCTATATCCCCAGAGAAGGTCTCTTTTTAGGATGATGAAAGTATTCTAAAATTAGTGGTAAAGGCCAAACAACTCTGTGAATGTATTAAAAACCACGGAATTATATACTTTATTTAGTTAATGGTGTTGGTGGATTGAACCCAGGGTCTCTCACCCATGTGAAGCACACGCTGTACCGTGCAGCTACACCCCTAGACCCATAGTGCATACTTTTTTTCTTTGTCTCTTTGAGACAGGGTCTCACTATGCAGTTCAGGCTGGCCTTGAGCTCACTTTGTAGCCCAGGCTGGTCTCGAACTTGCAATGATCCTCCTGCCTCAGCCTCCCGAGTGCTGGGATTACAGGCGTGCACCACCACGCCCGGCCATGGTGCATACTTTAAAACAGAAAACTGTACATGTATGTGCACATGGCCTGATGCGGCAGGGCCACAGACTGAACAGGAAAGCAGGCTGGCCGTGGCCCCTGGGGACTGAACTTCACCCTGGAGGGGTCAGGCTCCTACTGTGGGGGATCAAACCCGAGTTGGAAGGTCATTTCCCCTGCTCGGCCCACTCTTCAGTGACCTGATGCACAGGAAAGAATCCCAGTCCCTGACTTACTTGGGGGCCTCCCCTGCTAAGGCGCCCAGGAAGGAGGCACTGACTGGAAACCGGCCTCACTGCTATGTTACAGCAGCCCCTCCTGCCTGCTCCTCCTTCTGACCAAGAGCCAGGTGGGAAGTCTGCCCAGCAACAGCAGCGGTGTCAGGAGCCAGTGGGCAAAGGTGCCTGGTGGCCTCGCGGGTCCCCCTACAACTTACCCTCTCAGCCTTGGCTGAGATCCCAACTTCTCCTTCCAGGGAGGGTCACAGCAGCCACCAACATCTGGACTGCGGTGCTGCCGGCCCAGGGTGTCGGATCATCAGCCCTGTGGGACGGATGAGGGTGCCGAGGTGCTGGAGGGTGGGGGGCCTGCAGCCTGGTATCTTCCCCTGGCCCTGCCCTTCTGCCATCACCAAATGGGCATGGAGGAGTCAATGAGTGGAGTGAGTGTCACTCCCCGCCATCCTCCTGGCAAGCGACCTGTTACGGGGGTGGCAGTGCTCGGTTCTGACCTGGCCTGGTCATTTGCGGCCTGTGAGCATAGGTCAGTAGGAAGCGACCAGGGGAGAAGAGCTGCACAGACTAGGCTTGAAGTGCCCTGCTCTGAACGTGAGCACGAGCATTAAGGGCAATGGGTAAGATTTTGCTTGCACTGGTCTTGTGCCAGGCTTTGCGCCAAGCACCCAGTGTGCACCACTTCGTTTAGCCCTCACAACTACAGATGAGGGGCAGGGCGGGACCATCCTTCTGCGGAAAGAAGGCTCTAGCTCAAGATCTCAGGGCTGCAGAGAGGGCAGACTGCGGCGAACCAGGGGTCCTGACCCCTGCGCTCTTAGCCAAACACCCACAGGCCCCTCCGCAGCTCTCCAGTCTCGCTCTGCCCTTGCCAGGCAGGTGGGGAAGACTGAAGGGAAGGCAGAGAAGAGCACGAGGGAGGAGGGGAGATGCCTCCTGCAATCACTTCCTGGCTCTGGGCCAGGGGCTGGGAGAACCTGTTGCAGGAAGTGGTGGCTTTATGCAGGTAAGGGCCAGAGAGAGGGGGAAGGGAAGGCCTGGATCTTAGGACCTATTATTTGCCTATGCCGAACAGAGCTCAGTACAGGCGATACCTGACCCGCAGAATGACAGGAAGAGGTATAACAGCTAATGCTTATATGCCACCCTTCTCCCCAGTGTTTAGAAAGCCTTGATTCATTTACTCCTGGAAGAAACACGCCAGGCACACACTCAGGTATTTGCACGTGAGAAATTGAAGCACAAAGTCACTTGCCCGAGGTCACCTGGCTGACAAGGATTGGCACCAGATCTCTGGCTCTCACGTCCAAGAGCTGGACAGACTCACTCCTTACCGGGAGAGTGGGCAGCCCGTCCCCCAGGGGAACGAGGCCCTTGCTGAGGTCACACGTGCCAGCGGGGTCTGAGTCCCTTCTCCTGAGGGGGTCTGTGGTGGTAGGAATTATTCAGGGGCACCTCTACACTGTGGACCCCTTGCCACTACTCCCCACCAGGGCCCAGCCAGAAATGGGGGCCACAGGGAAAGTTTAGCTGCAGGCTCTTGCCCACAGTGGTCCAGAATTGGGCACAGCGGGGCCATTTCTCCTGCTTTCCTGGGACAGCGTATTTCGTTCAAGGTATTTCTTTGTCCGGACTCACACACCCCACCTCTGTCTCTCCCAGATGTGGCATCAATGCCTGCTTCCTAGAACAATCCTTGAAGGATCCTACTGCCAGGCTCCCTGTCCTCTCCTGGGCAGAGGGAAAGGAGACAAGAACTGGACATAAGACCCCCACCTCAGTTTCTGTGTACAACGAAGGGTGGAAGGACCCCTGTGATGCTCTGGGGACCCCTCTGCATTCCAGGGTTCTGCGGCTGGGAGGGCTCCCTTCGGCAGACAGCGATGACTGCAGGCTTCACGCACACCTGCCCACTAAGCACCGGGGATGATGATTCCTACACAGGCCATAATCAAAGCAGCCGCAAGTTTCTAAGCTTTAAGTAAGTACCAGGTGCTGTGCCAAGTGCTCTTCAGGTCTTCTCTCACTGGGTTCACTCAGCAGCTCTGAGACGCAGGTAACGATCACCTCCACTTTGTAGATGAAGAAACGAGGCTCGGGGAGGTGTGAGGCTCTGCTGCTCGCGCGCCTTGGGAAGAACAGAGGCGGGGCCCCAGGGGCTGCGGCTTCCTCTTCTGCAAGGTGGGGCAATCCCGCCACACTGGGTGCAGCTGCGAGGGTGGCAGCTGATCACACACAGCAAGCACGGGCCCCAGCAGGCTTGAGAGACCATCTCCACACCCCACCGGGTCCCACTTCACAGCCTATGGAGCCAGGCGCCAACAGGCCTTGCCTGTCACAGCTGACAACGACGTGTGATTCCCAGGCTGCGCCCCAGACGGCCTCTCACTTCAGCGAAGGATCCTTGTGTCCTTGGTGGCCTGTCTTGGGGATGACAGCTAATGGCGGCTTGGGGACAGGAGTCCACTCAGATGGCTCATGGGGTTGCTGGCCAGACAGGCAGTGACAGGCTGAGCAGCTGGCAGTCCCCGAGACTGAGCAAGTAGTGGGGGAGCCGCTGCCTGCATCTGACCCCCATTTCCAGATACTGCTCTTTAACATTTGGAGGTTTTCAGGACCGGGGCAAACAGCCAGGCATGGTGATATATGCCTGTAATCCCAGGATCCAGGAGGCTGAGACAGGAGGATCACCATGAGTGATCTGCACCATGAGTGACCAGCCTGAACTGCATGGCGAGACCCTGTCTCAAAAAAATGAATAAATAAATAAAAAGAAAGGACCAGGGCAAGGGCCTGGAGGCTACATATCATGTGCCTAAAGAGTTAAGAGCTATAGCCAAGATAGCAAACCTTAAACAAAATACGTTCTATCCTCCTACTTTTGCCTACTGGTCTGGACAGCCAGGCTGGGAATTTCAGTTTCTCTGACTGCTGAGAGTTTGGTGCCAGAAGACAGATGCATCTCTGGACAGCTGGGAAGGCCAGGCCAGGTGACACTCATATTTCTGGAGGGGGCCTCACACCCAGGTCTGAACACTGGAGAACACACATCAGCAACAGACAGACATGCCCGGCAGTGAGCTTGCTCTCCCCTGGGTCCAGCCGTGGATACACCAACAACACAGGTTGTCCTACGGAGAAGGCCCAGCAGGTCCTGCAGTGGGCCTGGGCTGCCGGACAGCAGACTCTGGGGGTCTGAGTATCTCCAGTGGGGTCTAGATGGGGGGAGGTAGCAAAGGGTATGCCCTGAGGAGGGCAGGGTGAGGCCCCCCAACACCCCTGGAAGGCCTGAGCCTTGCTCGCACAGCCTGTTCAGTTCTTCCCTGACCACTGAAGGTCTCTAGGAAGCCTTCCTGCAATGCCCACATTTCTTACTGGCTTCCTTTCTGCCTTTTAACAGCACCCACCATGTGTGATCGCTCACAGCACCGAAGCCCCCAAGGGCATCACCTGTGGCTCCCTCTCCCTGCATCTCTGCACCTGACAATGCCCCGTGCAGCAGGAACTGGGTGGAGGTCTGACTGGCTGAATGGACTGGGAAGCCTTGTGGTCAGCCACTCGCCTTCACCCGCCCTGGTGTTCACTCCAGCATACCTTCCCTGAGTGCCTTTGGAGGACTCCGCTCCGTCCCTGGCTCTCACACCGCACCAGGCCTCAGTGAGCTCACAGACCAGGGAGAGGGATTCGGTGTGGAACTGGGAGCAGAAATACAACAGCAGGACACCTGTGGGCTGGAGGGCGGGGCTGGGGCTTACGGAGGAAATGATGGATGAACCGGCCTAAGAGCCGGAAAGGGGACAGGACTCCTGGAGGCAGAAGAGCAATGCAGCCAGGCGCGGTGGCGCATGCCTGTAACCCCAGCACTTGGGAGGCTGAGGCAGAGGGATCACAAGTTAAGCCCAGGCTGGGTAACTTAGTGAGGCTCTGTCACAACATTTAAAGTAATAAAGGACTGGAGACGAAGTTGAGTGTGAAGGCCCTGGGCTCAATCCCTAGGAACACCCCCATCCTCCCGTAAGGCACACTGTAGAGCCCTAACCCAGACCTACTAAATCGGAGACTCTGGGAGAGGTCTAGAAGCGTGTCCTTTAACAAGCCCTCCAACTGACTCCGACACCGAGGCTTTAGGCTTCCGGCAGGCAGGAAGGCGAGGCAGGATCAGCACTGCACTTTACTAAGGTCACTCCTGCGGCCGAAGGGAGGCCAGCTCCGGGGCAGTCTGGCAAGGGGCTGGTAAAAGGCCCGCATCTGAAAGCTGGCCTCTGTGGATGTCACCTCCAGCTGGACAGACTGCTATAGAATAATACAGCTTCCCGTGAGAAAGGGAAGGGGCCACTGGGAAGGCTGAGAGGCCTGCGGGCACAGGGCCAGTTGCTACGGTGACCACCTGTCACTTGGAGAAAGGGGGCAGGGTCCCAGAGAGGGGTCAGTAAGGGGGAGCTGGTTGTCATGGCAACCTCCCCTCAGGTGGAGCAGAGACAGAGAAGAAGGAAGGTCGGTTGTCCCCAGGTACCTCGCCCTCCTTCCCAGGATGGAGCCTGCAGAACCTAAGTTCCTCCTCTGACTCCATCTGGCCATTATCCTCCTCTGTCCAGTTGGGCTCTAGGTGGCAGATTCCTCCGGTCCTCCTCATGAAGCCACACCCTCCTGGTCACAGCCTGGGCTTCCTGAGGTTAGCATGGTGACCTTCTCTAAGAGGCCAGAGCCTTCACCTTCCTTTGCCAAGGCTGCTGCGACACATCTGGAGGTGGTGACCCACGCGGGTGGTGGGCCCTTCCCACTCTGCCTCAGCTGGCACAGGGTGAGAAGACAAACAGGAGGCTCGGTGTCTTCCCTTCCATTTGGAAGGGCACTCTACACGGCCTCGCAGGACCGTCCACAAGGCAGGTATGGACAACCTCAGCCCAACTTGACCATTGGTCATGGGGGGGAACACCAAGTTCAAGCAGTCTGAAGTGTAAAAGGCCTGGGTTAGAGCTCTGCAGCATCACTGTGGCGACCCAAGCGGCCTTCAGCATATCCCTAGGCTGTTTCCTCATTTGTACATAAGAGACAGCACCTACCCAATGGCGTCACCACAGGACCAAAGGCAGAAATGCACTTGCAGGAGAAGCACAGGCATCCCAGCATCCCAGCACTCAGGAGGATCATGAGTTCAAGGCCAGCACAGGTTACATAACGAGTTCAAGGCCATAGTGTCACAAAAAGCCAAAAACCAGAAAACCAAACAACCTGGTGTTACTGTTAGTACTACTATTTTTTGTTTGTTTGTTTATTTCCGGTACTGGGAATTGAACTCACGACGTGGCGCTTGCCAGGCAAGTGCTGTACCGCTGAGCTAAATCCCCAGCCCCTGTTAGTACTACTATTAATACTATTATTATTACTATTAATACTATTAATATCTGGCAAAGAATGGTGTCCTGCCTGGTAGACTGCCTCCTCCAGGCAATTTATATTTCCTACAGTCCTTGTAGTTTTTATTCGCTACGATCTGCTGAACAGATGCTTACAGGAAAGCAGGAGCCGCGTGCTGCCTTTGAGCTTTCCCACAGTCCCTGGTCCAGGCCCAGGTCGGGAGCACCCAGGAAGCTCAGCCCGAAAGGACTTGGGTCTTTCTGACTCAGCATGCCAAACTGTGTGCAGCGCAGACACCTCCGCCCCAGCCTCTAATGAAGGGCCCTCACCCCTGCCTGGGATGTTGCGGGTCCAGGGTGTCGGTGTCCAGGGACAGCAGAAGCTAAGCGGCAGCTTCGGAACCTGGGGCTACAGGGAAGCCCCAGCCACCCCCTCCCCGGGAGAGCTGATAATAGGAGTGGTTCTAATTATGCTCTAATTGCTTTCTTCCAGGCAGCTTCTCTGGAGCCAAGGAGTTCAGAGTTCATGAATAAATGAAGAGGGAGGAAGTGGGAAGGGATGTTTATTGATCCACAAATCTCTGTGTGCCAGTGTCTGCCCCACAAATGCTTGGGCATGAAGCAGTATGCAAGGGTTTTTCTCTCACTGCTCCCCCTACCCCTTCAGGACTGGGGACTGAATCCACGGCCTTGCACGTACTGGGCAAATATTCTACCCCTGAGCTACATCCTCAGCCCTTTAAAAACATTTTTCTTAAATTTCATTTTGAGACAAGGTCTCATGAAGTTGCCCAGGCTAGCCTGGAACTTGCAATCCTCCTGCTGCAGCCTCCCACGCAGCTGGGATTTTTCAGGCATGCCCCACCACGACGGCCTCAGCGTGCAGTTTTGAACACACACACTAACAAGCACACACATGCCCCTTCCCTCCAGTCTGTCTCTCCCTGGAACAGACTGGAAGGGGTGAGAGGAACATCAGAGAAGGGTCCTAAATGGGCTTTGGGTCCCAGTCTCTGAACTACTGCTGACTTACACTGCAGCTTGGGCAAGTGGCAGAGCGTCTGCGGGCTTCGGTCTCCCCAGCCAGCTGTGTCAGGGGGGAGGTGACACGGGACAGTCTCTCCGAAAACCCAGCCTTTCATGCATGAGAGGGAAAATGTGCTGAGCTACACCAGGTGGGCATTGGCCCCTGAGACTGTCCCTCCATCCAACGCCACACGCTCTAGGAACAGGCTGGAGGCTCCAAGGCAGTGGCTGGAGGGACGCTCACATTCGGGGCTACCACCTTGAGGCTAGGACACCTGGTGGTCAGATGACTGCTCTGCCACTTTTTTTGTTTGTTTGTTTCTGGTACCAGGAATCGAACTCAGGACCTTGTGCTTCCCAGGCAGGCACTTGTGCCTCTGAGCTATATCCCCAGCCCCTGCTCTGCCACTTGCAGGCTATAAGGCCCTTGGCAGAACACTCCTCCTTTTTTCTCTCCCTCCCCTCCTTATTCTTGCAGTACTGAACCCGGAATGTGGAGCTGCATCCCCAGTTTTTTATTTTAAGACAGGGTCTTACTAAGGCACTAATTTGCTCAGGCTGAGTTTAAAATTGGCAGTCATCCTGCCTCAGCTCCCAGAGTGCTGGGATTACAGGCATGGGCCACAAAGGTCAGACATTTCAGCTTCTTGAGCCTCAAGCTGGTCCTTGTGTCAAACGGGAATGACAGCAGATGTGCTGTGAAGGGTCATGGAGGGTATTAGCGGTTTGAGTCCTGCGCCTGGCACAGAGTAAGCATTTGGTAGATAAGTGGTAGCCGTAACTGCTAACTCTGCCAACAGCCCTGCAAGGTGCAGACTGTTGCTTGTAGTATAGAGGAAGAAAATGAGGCACAGGGCTGGGGTGTGGCTCAGTGGTAGAGCACTTGCCTAGCATGAGCGAGGCCCTGGTTCATGCCCCAGTACAGAGAGAGAGAGAGAGGGAAGGGGAGAAAGGGGAGGGGACAGAGAGAGAGGGAGAGAGAAAGCTTGCCCAACGTCATGCATTAAGCTGTCTACTTTGTGTGATCCACCCGTGTCCCAGGGGCTGGCACATAGTAGGTATCTATAAATAGTGTTCTAAATTACAGAAAAGTGGATTTTAAAAAATGCATAAAAACAAGCCCTGCTTCTACTGTACAAGGTAGGGGATGGACTGATGAAAGAAGTAGAATGAAGTTTCTTTCAAGGTCATAGCAAAATATTGGGTTTGAGGGACCCCAGGACTCCTTGCCTCCTAAGATGGAGAAATAGGGGTCCTTGGTATGTGCTTTTTTTCTGAGACAAGGTCTCACTATGTATTCCAGGCTGATTTTTTGCTCACTATGTAGCTCACGCTGGCCTTCAACTCAAGATGATTTTCCTGCCTCAGCCTCAGTAGATGCTGGGATTACAGATGTGCATCACCACTCCTGGACAGTGCGTGCTTTTTTTTTGTCTTTTTGAGACAGGGTTTTGCTGTGTAATTCAGGCTGGCCTTGAACTCACTTTGTAGTCCAGGGTGGTCTTGAACTCACAGTGATCCTCCTGCTTCAGCCTCCTGAATGCTGGGATTATAGGAGTATGCTACCACACACAGCCCAATATGTGCTTTTTGAAGGAAATTTATTTATTTATTTATTTATTTATTGAGATGGTCTTGTTACATAGTACAGGCTGGCCTTGAACTCACAGTGATCCTCCTGCCTCAGTCTCCCAAGTGATAGGATTACAGATGTGTGTCACTGTGCTTGGCTGGAAAAAAATTTTTTTTATACTTTAACTTTTATTTTATTTTATTTTTTGGAGGGTAGGGGAGTTTTACTGGAAAAAATAGAGCTCCTGGGTTTCCAGGAGGGGTCCCAAGTGGGTGGCCCTTGAAGGAAGGAAGTACTTTTATGCCTTCATGACTTCCACTAAGAACCCTGGTTTTGACATGGTCAGAACCTGCTCTGCCTTGCTATGTGACTCTGGGCCAGTGCCTCGGAATCCTCATCTGTGAAACAGAAATGTGGACCACAAGATTCCACCACCAGTGCTGTTATGGGGATGACAGAGATGGCACATGTGAAGCCATAGGGTATTGGGGCCAAAAGGGTGCTCCGCCCTGCTGAGTGTACCAGCTCTGGGCCTCGGAGTCTGTTCCTGTAACCAAGGGAAGACAGGGCTGGGGATGGACAGTGCTTGCCTAGCACGTGTGAGGCCCTGGATGTGATTCCCAGTATGCATGCTAACTGCTCACCACACAGGGTTCACCAAGCAGCGTGCAGCGAATGTTCCTACGCTGGTCTAGCTATTGCAGTAACAATGGTACGAGGCGTGTCCTAAGTGTACCGTGAATCTTGTCTATCAGGTAACACTTGTGTAGAGATCCTGATGTCTATTTTACAAATGGGGAAACAGAAAGAATAAGGACTTGGCCAAGGTCACAGAGCCAGGTCTGTGCAGATCCAAGCCTATCTGGACAGCAGGTGTAGCAGGGGCCTGAGACGCTCCAGTGGATAAGTGCAAGGCCTCCCACAGCAGCTGGGCATTCCTGCTAGCGGCCTGAGGACTCTGGAGGGGCTGAAAACCCTCTCTTGTGCTCCTGGTGGCTCCCGGGCTGGCTTGTACAGAGAGGTGTGTCAGAGGACAGGGAGGGCTGACTTGCCTTCCTGGCCCACCTGGCTGGCCCCTCCACTCCGGGGCTGGCTGCAGAGGCCTTGGAAACAATCCAGGGGCCCAGGACCAGAACACTATTTGTCAGCTTTGTATGGTGGTGGCAGGCTTGTCTCCATGGCAACAGTGCAGTGTGAAGGCATCCTGGCATCATTAGGGAGCGCACTGAGTAGTATAAACAGAGGCTGCAGTAGATTACACGCCTATTATGAGCAGTCTCAGGCTCTGAGCACTGGTAATTATGCCTAATTGTGCATTTAATTGTGTAATTGAAAACCCACATCTCTGGTTCAGGCTGGGGCTGCAGAACCTACCCCCTCCCAAAAGAAAAGAAGGTTAAGAGCCAACTCTTCCTCTGGAAATCTCAGGGCTGCTTTTCCTTCTTGGGCTTTTCCTTTCCTTCAGTGGGCAAGGCGGGTAAAATGCCTGTACACTTTCATTTCACTGATTCCTGTGCTAGGAGCTCACCCACGCCCTGTGATTTGGGGCAGGGGCAGGAAGGAGCAGGCTAAAGGCAAAGGCACATGGGTAGAGCCCCAAAATGTCCATACTTTTCATTATTCATAATAAATACTATTTTGTGTTATTAGCACTGTCCTCTCAGGACCTAGAGGCAGCATCGGGGTGGTCCCAGGGACCTGGTTCTTTACATCACATGTTCCAGGAGTCACCCAGCCTACACACAAAGCCTCAATCACTGCCACAGGCAGGGAAATCACCACCTGGTTCTCAGCCCCCACCCCTGCACAGCCTCTGGAGAGTTTGAAAAACTCTGGAATTCAACATCTTCCTCCAATGTCCCATTTCACAGACTGGGGAAATGAGGCCCAGAGAGGGACAGGGCCGGCACAAAGTTACACAGTACCAGGGTCCTAGGATTTTCTGCCTTGCATCCGAGGGCATGTTTTATACCCTAAGGTGACTCAGCACCCCTTCATAAATAGTTGCTGCTGGGCATAGTGGTGCATGCCTGTAATCCCAGCACTTGGGAGGCTGAGGCAGGAAGATCACAAGTTCAAGGCCAGCCTGGGCTACAAAGTGAGTTCAAGGCCAGCCTGAACTGCACAGTGAAAGCCTGTCTCAGAGACAAAACAAACAAACAAAAAAACCAAATAAATAGTTGCTGATTTTGACTCTTTGTAGGGTGAGCTGGTGGCAGTTGCTACTCTCTAACCCCAGAGGATCAGTCTTCTTAGAGTTGGGAAGGCTCACCTGTGCTAGTTCAGAGGTTAGGGATGGGCCAGGACCTCCCGGAGCCAAATGTCTGTGGTCTGAGATTGATTTTACAATCCACCTGCCACATGCGCATTCGGATGGGGACAGTGGAGACTAAGAGACAGAACAGGGGTCACCCAAGTCCCTGATAACCCAACACCCAGGCAGGAAGCATTGAGCAGGCCATCCCAGGCAGAAGTCCCCCTCTCCCCGGTTCCTCACTCCCATCCGTCACCACTGCCTGCAGCAAGGTGGGCAACAGGGCAGCGACTGTGACCTCCTCCTGGGAAGGAGGGCGCTCACTGCTGGTTCAGGGCCGGAGGAGTCTTTTGAGATCATGAGTCCAGCCTTTGCCCTCCCAGCGAAGGCCACACCCTCATCCCGGATTCCCTCGTGCATGCCGGGACCCTGCGCCCAGAGCACTTCCTGCATTATCTTCGGTCACACGCATTGCAGTCCCGTGCATCATAGTCCTGAGAGGCATTGCTGTTCTTATGCCCATTTGACCGGTCAAGGAGCAGCAAGGTCAAGGCCACATGGATCGAGGAGAACCACTGCTCCCTCTTGGCCTTGCACTGGTTGGGAAAGAGGACTGCACCCACTGCCTACCCGACAGTATTCAGATTGATGGAACCTGCTGTCTCATACCTTGGACATTCCAGAGTGGGAATCGTTTATGAGCTCCT